GTTCGAGCCCCTGTCGGGCTCTGTGCTGACCGCTCAGAGCCTGGAGCCTGCTTCGGATTCTGTGTCTCCCTCTCTCTCTGTCCCTCCCCCGCTCGTGCTCTGTCTCTTTCTCTCTCAAAGGTAGATAGACATTAAAAAAAAGAAGAAGAAGGAAAGAAAGAAAGAAAAAAAAGGAATGGTCCCTTCCAGCCCGCACCACCCCAACCATCCCCTGGTATTTGGGACGGTTCCTCCCTCTCACCCAAAGCGGTCAACCTGATCACATTCTTCCAGACCCACCCCAGCCTCTTCTCTTCGATTCCTCCTCCCCTTCCATTCTACCTCCTGCCTATTAGATACTTACCCCTCACCAGTTCTGTTCCCCTGTGTCCTTTCCTTTCCTCACCCCCTCCTGCCTAAGAAAGTCTCTATATCTGCCCCCCACCCACCATCTAATATTTTGGAGAGTCCCATTTTCAGAAATCCCTGACAACAATGGCTCCCATCATCCCATTGACTTCGCTTTTTTCCACCCACCACCTCAAGACAGTCTTTCCCTCTTCCCTGACCTCCCACCACCAGAACCGTGACCGTGACAGTCCCTCCCTGATGTGGCGCTATCTTCTACCCTTGAAGGCACAACCCCCTCCCCAGGGTGGGACGCCAGGCTGTCATACTTGTGCAGGACTCCCCCACGACGACCACGCATGCGTCCTTGCCGGCCTCGCAAGTCTTCATTTTTCCGCTGCACGTGGGCCCGGAGCCCCTGCACACTTCACAGCTCAGTGGGCACCCTACGGTGTAGAGAGCCAGGCTGTAGTCATGAGGGGTGTGGTCAGCGGAGCACGGGTTTGACTTCAGAGTCCAGAGGGAGATGGAGGCACAGGGGACCGGGTTTGGAGTCCTGAGGGAGGAGGGAGAGGTGTCTCTTTAATTGCTCATGGGTGGGGCACTGACCGCTGTCCAGGGAAATGCCCACTGCTCTGGCTGGGACGCGGTGGTGATGCCAGCAAAGCTGCTTCCACGGGCGGGAAGCGACTCCACCAGGGAGCCTGTTTACCTAATTAGAAGGCTGGGGACTTGGGATGCTAGGGACTCCTGAGAAAGCTCGGGGACAGGGAGGGATCCTGGCGAAGGTTTCCATGGGCTTTGGGAAGCTTCAGGTCCAGCTGTTTCTTGGACGCAAGACCAGATGTAGGTCTTGGAGGTGGCAGGAGCTCAGGCAGGGGAACCCGAGGCTGGGGTCTTCATCCCAGATCAAGAAGGGAGAGTCAGGACCAGGAGGGCTGAGGGCATGGACTCCTTGGTCCTAAAAGAAGACAAAACTCGGGGCCCAGACACCTACCTGGGTCCTGGGAAAGGTGGGGCTTGTTAGAACTCCTGAATCTAAGGGAGGAGGGGCTGGAGGTCTGAATTCTGTAGAGTCCAGGGACAAAGGAAGTCTGTCCTCCACGCCTTCTTCCCATGGTTTTTTGTTTTTTGGTTTTTTTTTTAGATTTCCATTTCTAATCATGCTCTCATCCAATTTCCTAGATTCATATGTCTTATTTTGAGACCCTGCCTGGGGGGGGGGAGGGGATAGAGGATTCGGAGCCCCCCCAAGCTCCCCCAGGGAGTCAACCACATGAGCTTCTCCTTTGGGGCCCCAGGCTTTCTCTTCCTTTAGCCTCTGCCTTCACCATGAATCTGCATTCCCAGGACACCTCCACTTTCCTCCTCAAGGACTGTGGTGAGTGCTCTCTCTCATGGTCCTCATGGTCCACACCCCTTCTCACTTACCCAGACCTAGGAGGGTGCAGAGCAGAGTGAAGGCCAGCAAGAAGGTCCCCGGTTTCATGGAAGCCCTCATGATGAGTGAACCTGCAGTCCTGGGTCCTCAGCCCTTATAGGGAACTGAGGAGGGGCGGGTCTGTATCCACCTTCACCCTGGGGTGAGAAATAGCTGAGGTAAGATCTCAGGGCGGGCCTTTGTGGCTCTGGGTTGGGGATATGGAACCAGAATTCAAAAGGGACATGGGCATTTCATGCTCAGCCCCCTGCTCCACAGGGACCCCAGGAGTCTGGGCTTCTAGCCCCCTCTTCCATCAGGACCCAGAAGGTCACTTTCCTGTTTTCTCACATTCTCATGGCCCTTCTCCC